ATAGCTGATCATCTGACACCCCTGACCCTCGCATACAGCCTATAGCCACCCTGACTTGGGTGTGCTGCTGTGTTGGCAGCACTATTCAGAGTACAGTCGGGATAAGCTGAAGGGCGAGTTCGTTGACAATGTCAATGACTACTGCACCTGGTGTTCCGCCGGAGCCTTCCCTCAGGTAAGCAATGGGTGTGATAGGAGGAGCAATGAGTGTAGCAACAGGAGATGCGTAGTAAACAGTGAGTGTGATAGGAGGATGTGTAGTAAGCAATGGGTGTGATAGGGGGAGTGTGTTATTCAATGGGTGTGGTAGGATAAGGAGCGTCTCACAGATGTAGTCGCAAAGGAGAGTGGCGTAGTGGCTGTGTGAAGTTATACTTGGTTCTGGTTTGTTTTAGGATTTTAGAGTTTTAGGGTTGTTATGGATTGCGAGTTGATTAAATCCAGCGAGCACATCGAGCGCATTTGTTCCGAAGTTTGCGGTGATCGCTCACAGATATGTATTGGTGTGTGTAGTCCATAGATAAGCGTTGGTGTGTGTAGACCATAGATAAGTATTGGTGTGTTTAGTCTATAGATAAGTATTGGTGTGTGTAGTCTATGGATAAGTATTGGTGAGTTTAGTCTATAGATAAGTATCGGTGTGTGTAGTCTATTGATAAATATTGGTGTGTGTAGTCCATAGATAAGCGTTGGTGTGTACAGTCCAAGTGGTGGATGGAATGGCTGCATCACGTGTCTTCGAGTGTCTTCGCTGTGTCGCTTCGCATACGAGCGTGTGCTGGGTTTAGGATGTAGGGTTGTTAGAGTTTCCGAACCCTTCTTTACTTTGGCAGTGTTCTAGGAGGCTATGTTATTAACCATCTCTTCTTATATGTTAGCTTCTATGTAGACAGCTACTGTTGCCCTATCATCTGAGCGTGTTGCTATGCATGATTCACCAACACCACGACCTCATCCCCCCCCACAGACGCTGTACATCTGTGAGCACTGCCCCAAAGTGTTCTGTGAGCAGTGCATCAGAGCCAATTTGGGCTCAGATGTGCTGTTGGACGTCAAAAGCGCAGGTGAATGACGGGTGCTCACTGTCTCGTTTAGTTGTTTTATTCACTGACCGTGCGTGTGTGCGAGCACGTACATGTGCGTGTATGTATGTGTGTGTGTGTGTGTGTGTGTGGGTTCGTATTGAGCGAACAGTGTGGCTGTCAATATTCCTGTTGTATAAATGGATGTACTTGGGCTCTCACGTGTGTGTTGTGTAGTACACATTGTGTGGGTTGCGTTGTTCACCTTATGCGCGTAGTATTGTTCGTGTGTGCGTTGGGACTGTGTGTGTTCATTTCGTGAACACAAGCAGCGTGGCTTCTTGATAGTCTATGTACTGTATCATATGTGTTTATATGTGAGTGTACTATTGTTATTATATGCATTTATTTGTATGTGCTATTCTTTTCATATATATTTTTGTGTACCAACTGTTGTTGTCAGATGTATTTATGTGTATGTACGATTGTTCTCGTATATATTTATGTGTGTGTGATTTTACTATCAGGTGTGGGTATGTGCATGTGCTATTGTTGTTATAGGTAGGTAAAAGTGTGTTCATGTATGAGTTTTATCCTTGATAAGGTGAAGGCTTTTGCTTAAATTGTAAGTTTCCGCCATGTATAATTTTGTTTCTGTGTTGTTTTCTCTAGGGATGTAAGTAAATCCTGTTCGGCTTGATAGTATCGAGTGAGCGCAGGATGCTTGCTTGTTTTACGTCCGTGTGTTTGCTCCTGACACATACACGTACAAGCATGTGTATGAGCTCACACTTACACATACACGTACAAGCATGTGTATGGGTTCACACTTACACATACACGTACTAGCATGTGTACGGGTTCACACTTACACATACACGTACAAGCATGTGTATGGGTTCACACTTACACATACACGTACAAGCATGTGTATGGGTTCACAGTTACACATACACGTACTAGCATGTGTATGGGTTCATACTTACACATACACGTACTAGCATGTGTATGAGGTCACACTTACACATACAAGCATGTGTATGAGCTCGCACTCACACATACACGTACAAGTATGTGTATGGGTTCACACTTACACATACACGTACTAGTATGTGTATGGGTTCACACTTACACATACACGTACAAGCATGTGTATGAGGTCACACTTACACATACAAGCATGTGTATGAGCTCACACTTACACATACACGTACAAGCATGTGTATGGGTTCACACTTACACATACACGTACTAGACATAGTGTATGGTTCACACCTACACATACACGTACAAGCAATAGTGCATGGGTTCACACTTATTGGCACAGCTTGGATAGTATACTTGTCGGT